TCCTGACCCGCGGCAGCTCCGGCTCGAAAATCGTATCTCTTCAGATCTTTTAAGCCCAAAAGTATACGGAAACTGTACTCCCGCAGTTCTGGCGGCAAAATCGCAAATATTGAGCGCCAGAAGTAGCTTGCGAAGCGCACTCCCGCAGCTTTGGCTGGAATCGCATGCTTCAAGTACACAAGCAGGACGCAAAGAGCATTCGCGCAGCTCAGGGTCGAAACTCATACGCGAAGTGTCTTTCCGCAGCCGGCTCGCGAGTCGCAACTTCTAACTACGCAAGTAGTATGCAAAGTAGCACGCGAAGCGCACTCCCGCAGCTCCGGCTGAAGCATCACATGCAAAGGTCGCGCACGAGGCGACCTTTCGTACTGTAGTTTTTAAGTGCAAAAATAATGCTGCAAAAGCGCACCCTTCAATGGTTTCGCGCGGCCACGCGCCGATTTCATGGCAGGCGCAGCATGTTTGCGAAAGCTACCGCACATAGATCTAGGGGTAGATACAGTAGATGGATATAGAAACAAAGATAGTTAGATAGCTAGTTTAGATTAGATGAGTTCAGATTGGATCCGGTAGATAACTAGAAAAAACATAAACAGACCACTACTGCTAAGAAAATTCGTATCTTGCCTGTGCTCTAGCAAGCAGAAAGGTTGCGTGTCGATGCTGCGACAAAGGTTCCTGGCCTGTGCGTGCTCAAGGCAAGCACGTACGTGTTGACAAGCGTGAGGTTTATCATCGGCTGACATGGTACGTTTGACTAGCACAAGAGTCTCGTCTTCACGTCAGACCTGCCACAACAAGCTGGGTTCTGGGTGGGCATGGGACATGGGGGGTGCGTTCGGTGCTGTAGGATGTTGACACTTGATGAAGTATCCCTTTTCAGTTGTTTGCTCGCGCGCAGAGATGCTCGCTGGTGCGTTGCAAGCTTTTGAGCGTTCGTCAAAGACCGCGTCTGTTGCACCGGCTTGCAGACGACTTCGTCTTCCACAGCTGCTGCAAGTTCTGGGAGGGCCTTCCTGACGGAGTGCGCTGAAGCAGCTGTACGGGGGTCTGGCTGGCTTTGGGCCGAGCTGGACGGCTCCATGACGCTGGCGAGGCTTCGCTCCTTTGGAGCCGGCCTCGACGATTCCTTGCGTTGCATGAGAGCCCTGCCGCCACGCCCCCTGCCCTTTGTTGTTTCGGCAGGTGCGTCGGGCGTCCAGCACGGACATGCGTCTCAGTCAGTCATGCCACAACCTGGGTCTTGCTCGGCAGGCATGCCTGAAAGCTGTCAGGCGGATGGAGCGGCGGCACGAGACCTCAAAGTTTCGCGCAGCGCAGTGATTGAGGGCGTGCGTGTCGCTCACTGCGCGGACCTGCCTTAATCGACCGGTTGCTTCATCTGGCAATCAAGCAGACTGTCTGTTGCGGGCGTGGGGGGAGTAGTCTTTCGCGCACGTGACCCCTTGCTGGCGTATCGGATACGTGCTGTGGGGTCGCTACGCGGTGGAGCGAGATTTCGGCGACCGCAAGGACGACCTTGGCGAGCGTGATCTTTGGACTCCTGCGGGCAGCATAGCTCGTGAGGAGAGACTGAGCGTGCAGGCAGCGATGCACGGTTTGTTGCTGAGCGCAACGAGCCGGCGAATGTTGTCGAAGCTCTGTTGTCTCAGTGGCAGACTGTCTGCAAGTGCGTGACGCCTGCCTCGCACGCGAAGAGCAACAACAATGCGAGCGAGTCATGAGCAGCCTGGGCTTTTGCCTCTTGCTTACGCGCAGGCGGACAACTCCGGCAGAGCTAGCAGCCAGCACTACAAACGCGCACGCACAACACCGCCAGCCCCACTCCAGTGCGACACACGCTAAGTCGAAGTCCAGACGGGCGAACGCCACGCGCAGCCTCACGCGCAGCATCATGTGCCACATCATGCGCAGCATCGCGAGCAGCGTCACGCGCCGTGCCAAGGCGCAGCATGCAGCCGGTGTACCTTTCAACATGCGCTTCGCGATCTTCCTTGCTGCTGCCAGACAACATCAGCAGATTGAACAACTCACATGAGTGATTCCAAGGGAAGCCAAAGGAGGCCGGACAACACCAGCAGATTGAACAACTCGCGTGAGACGCAGGAGACGCGTGCATCATCATCATCATCATCATCATCACCATCATCATCATCATCATCATCATCATCGTCATGACCATACTTCACACGCAGGGGACGCAAAGCGACGATTATCATCATGACTGCTGGCGATGCTACGCATAGTGGTGATTGTATCATCGTCCCTGGTGTTGGGTGGATTTGCATAATCAGGAACATCGTCACTATCGCGGTGTTCTTCTTCTTCATATACGTTTCAAGTGCGCCGTTAGACCCGGCTTGCGACGCAGGGGGCGCGTGTCATGATTGTCATGGTAACTGCTGGCGAGCAGCACAAAGCTTATCATGATAACAGAAGCTTGGTACTCGTGCACCAACAACTTGACAAGCCTGTGTAACTGTAGAACCCTTTTTAACCCAAACTAAAACAGGTAATTTATAGATTTACCCAGCAAAAAAGATGCACCTTCTGCGAAAGTTTGACATGATGTTTTTTCACTTTTGATTCTTGACCTACTTGAGCGGAGGGCAAAACCCTCCGTGCGTTTCTTGCCGGTGTCAAACAGCTTACGCGACAGCTTACGCGTCGCTTACGCCGCACTTGAAAAAACCTTACGCGCCGCGCACTTGGATTCTCACATCTTACGCGCCGCTTACGCTAAGGCTGCCGGACTTGCTTTTCGGCTCAGAGCGCCCCGGTCTTTTCCGCACCTCTAGCTTTGCTTCTTGCAGCTGCGCTGCCCGCCCAAAAGCAGCCGTCTGTGACTTGCTGTGACTTTGTTGTCAGCTTTTGGAGCAAGCGCACCACAAAAAAAGATTTAGTTCGCCGACGAAATCGTTTTCCCTGTTGTTTTGAGCCTTGGAGATACCTCGCTGTGGCCCTGGGTGTGACAAAGGCCACCTGGCGGGTGGGAGAATTGAACCTCCACGCCTTCATGCGCCAGCAAGGGTTGCGGGAAGCAAAACCACTGGGCTAGAGGTTGTTGATAACTGGGTGGCTGACAAGAAAGCTGCTTTAGACTGACCGGCCTTGGGCAAAAAGCGCAAAATGATTTAGTTTGCCAAACTAAATCGTTTTTTCCCGGCTGTGGCTCTAACACCTCTCTGCTTGCCGTGCAGCTCTTTTAAGCGTTGGAGATACCTTGCTGTGGCCCTACGCACGAATTTTGAAGCAAGCGCAAAAAAGATTTAGTTCGCCGAACTAAATCGTTTTTTCTCGGTGGTGGGTCTAACGCCTCTGGAGATACTTGCTGTGGCCCTAGTCAGGATTTGGTCAATGGCAGGCTTCGCGCTTACGCGGACAAGCTGCAGCCGGGTGCTCTTTTCCAGCCCAAGTCAGGGGTCTCTCCTTGGACCAATTTGGGCAAGGAGCCGGTCAAGGAGTCGCTCACACTCTTCAAGCTGGCTTTGGAGGTTTCGAGGAAGACTTGGAGAGGAGCAGGCGCGGCAAAGTTTGGCTGGAGCTGTTGGAGCTCTGGCAGACAGAGCTGCAGTTTCGCAGCCCTTCAGTAACGAGTCCTTGACCCAGTTCAAAGGAGCTTGCGCCGCCCAGGTTTTAGCGAGGGCACGCATGATTTGGCACACAAATCAACAGCGAGCCTTTCCAGTCATCAGTCAGTCAGTCAGTCAGTCAGTCAGTCAGTCAGTCAGTCAGTCAGTCAGTCAGTCAGTCAGTCAGTCAGTCAGTCAGTCAGTCAGTCAGTCAGTAAGAAGTCATGCCAAACGCCAACTTCAAATTCTGAACTATGCATGCCCAGCACATCATGACTCCCCTACATTCAAGTCGAGTCTATCGGCACACTTGAAACGTACATGGAAAAGAAGATCGGCGCGATATTCATGATGAACATCGGTGATGATGATACTCATCACTATGCGTCCGCGGCATCGCCAGCAGTCATGATGATAATCGTCACTTTGCGCCCCCTGCGTGTCAAGTCGGGTCATGATGATGCTGGTGAGCGTCGTGACAACATCCTGTTGATAATCATCACTATGCATCCCCAGCCAGAATCTTCATATCGTCAAGTGAGCGGATGGCAAAACCTCCCAAGACCAGTTTAGTAAGGGGGCGCCAATATCGGACGGCCCGCGTAAGGTTTTTCCTCTTTGTGCGTAAGTTTGCGTAAGACCCCCCTCCCGAACTCTATGCTCTCCCTGATCAACTCCACCAAGGTGTCCCTGACCCCTTGGCCCCCGCCTCCATGGCAGTTGCCACCACCTGGGCCGCCAAATAGCTGGCCCACAAGTCCATTGCCAGGATCTAATCCTGCTCCGCTACCACTGAAAGCTAAAGAAGCTAAAGCTAAGCGCGGACTCTTGTTTTCGCGCAACCATAGAGCTCAAGGCCTGCGGGATTCATGTCGGGCTTCACATCTGCTTTCTGAAAACCTCCCAAGCTGCCTGGCAGGCTAGAAAGTTCATATTGATTCATAGATCCTAAGACACACCGGGGTACTGGGGCGAGGCTGTGCATTTGAGATCCATTTTCGACAGTCACTTGGCTGAGACAGTTGGCTGAAGGGAAGATTTTGATCTTGGCTGTTGAAAAGAATAGTGACCTGGCTCTGCGCGACGCGCAAGGGGCAAGGGCGTAGCCTCCGAAGCGAATGCTGTTTGATGTGGCTTGCCATGACAACTAAGCTCTTGGAAATGCGGTTTTTCGTCCTGCCGCACACATCTCCGTGCCTGGCCGTGCCAGGTTCGACATCCTTTGCACAGCTTCAAAGCGATCTGAGCCATTCGAGCGCCAGTCGCCAGTCGGGCTTCGACAGGCCCTTCTTTTAGGCATGGACTAAAACCTGTGGTCTCTTGGTGGTTTAAATGTGACCCATGCCCATCTGTGTTGCCACTCCAGGTCGTGACAGATCGGGACCCGTACGCTGCCAGAGCGGCCCTTGAAGCCATCCGGACGCCCGCTCAGCCCTGGCTTTCCTCCACCAGGTGGTTGACGATGGACTCGGACGTCGCAACAGTGTTGACTGGGCCCCATGACATTCCCAACATGTCCCCAAAAAAAACGGCAATGCAAACCTATGGCATGGGATCCCTCTGGGCCGTGGCATCAGACAAGCAAGCACCAAATGCCGCGGAAGAACTGCCACGTTGGGGAAGTCGAAGACGAGAGATGGCGACAGCGTCATCTGGAACTCTTTGGACACCTGGCCAAAGGTCGTTCAAAGGGGAATCAACTGCCAACGGCAGCATATCGCTGCCGTGTTTTCGGGGAACCCTTTCAGTTGCTTCAAAAGAAGGCCACATCGAAACCACTCACTTTGGGAGTTCCCTCAGTAGTAGTGGCCTAATCTAGGGAGCCCTGATTGCTCGAGAAGGCCTCCGTGACGAGCTGCACTGATGACAAGCCTTGGCCAGAATGCCACGGAAGGCAGCAAAATATCGTGCTGAAGCGCGAGACGTTTTTGCGGATCTTGCAAGCAGTCTGTTCGCATGCAGGTGGCATCAACATGTGTGAGGCGACTGCTCAGTGACATCCTGGGGCTGCCACTGTCCATACCAGCTTCCATGAGAGGGCTGTCTGCCTGAGACGTGGACCACGGAAATGACTGCAAATGACTACGAAAGAGCGGTATGCGTTGGCAAGAGGAAAATGACTGAGAGCCTGCAAGCACAATGCGACAAGCGCATCCCTTGTACTTTCTGAGCAGTCTAGCGCTGATTTCATCATCCGCCGCGATGACATCTTTCACCTCAGCGCCATATCTGACAGTCAAGCAAAAGTGATGATGATAACATGAAACTAACATGGATGTGTTGTTTTTTGAGGGTACCCTTTTTGGACATGCCCACGTGAAACCTGACAAACCCTTTGTCTGCATGTCGAATAAACCTCCATGATGCTTTCTAAATGAGTGCCGGCTTGGCCTTCAAAGCAGGAGGTCTACAAGGGAAATATGCGGAAAAGGCCAAATGGATGTCCCAACCCGCAAAGGAAAAAGGCTAGGGATACACTCCAATCAAATGCTAATTCAAGCTGTGGTCTACAAAGCAGCACTATCTATGATATGAAATCCGAAAACATAGACCAAACAAGCATGAACGGAGTTGCTAATGGCGTGTAGAATCATCTGCGGCCAGCCCCCCCTGCCTCCGCCCTGCCTCCCCCCCCCACACAAGGGACAAGAACTCGAATAAACGGTCAAACCGTTGACTGCATGCATCAACCGAGCCCTGGCTATGGCTTCCACCACATATGTTTATCCTGCTTCACCTTCGCATGCTCCTTTGCAAAAAGAAAAAGGAGGGCCCTGCCCTTGGCTTCTCGAGCCTCCCTTGGCTTTCCGAAACGAAACATGCCATCGCCGCATTTAGAACGTCACCCGGCCGTCCGAGGGCCGGGGGTCCGGGCGATGGACATGAGCCGCTTGGTGGCCAGGGCCGCGTCTAAGCCCTTGGGCGCCTCCGCCACTGCCGAGGCAGCCGGCGCTGCAGGGCCTGGCACGGCAACAAATTGGGACATTGGTGCCTCCCAAGTCGCGTTCCCCGTTGTTTCCAAAAATATACAAACCCAACAAGCTGCCCACAAAAAAGAAAAACACCCACATTGAAGCCCAAGACAGACTCCTTCCCTGGCCGATGCCATCAACACAACAACATGGGAAGTGGGAATGGTGCAATCCTACACGTTAGGCTTCGACATGAAATTACTCGCTGTCGAACGAGGCTGTACTGTTTCTACAAGAGGCTGCGTCCGCCACTTGTCTGGCTAAATGATCACCCTCGACGTCGCACGCGCGAGCGAAAGGCAACTAGAGCGCATCTCATGGCTGCTCAAAGCCTATACAAAGCGATTGTGCAACTTTCATCGGCATGGCTGTACAGTCATTAATTACTCTGATTCTGCGAGCAATGCTTCCTCAACAGAATAGAACTCTTAAACTGCTCCTAGACGTCTCACGACCAAGCTTCCACGGTGTAGCGGCCCTCCATCTTCAAGTTGGAAAGGATAGCTTCGGCATCTTCCTCGCCACACCTCTCATGTGTCATCATCACCTCCTTCATGGCTGTGTAAATATCTTCCGGAACTTGCCGTGCAGATCCGCAAACGTAGAAGTGGCCGCCCTGGTTCAACATGCATTCAGCCACGTCCTGGCCGGCCTCCACGATGCGGTGCTGCACATAGATCTTGCGCGCCTGCTCCCGCGAGAAGGCGCAGTGCATTTGCAGCACGCCCTCCTTCTCGTAGGTTTCAAACTCCTCCCGGTAGAGCCACTCCACCTTGTACCGGGCGCCGAAGAAGAGCATGCACTTCCCCACTTTCAGGCCGGAGCGCTTCTGCATCACCCGCTCTTGTGTCACCGCGCGCCAGGGCGCCAGCCCCGTGCCCATGCCCGCCATGATCACGGGCTTCTCCGCGTCCTGCGGCAGGACGATGGCGCTGGACCGCACCGCGCACATGATCTGCGCGCCGGGCGGCTGCGTCTGCATGTAGCCTGCACAGGGAAAGGAACAGCAAGTCCAGAAATGAAATCCTGAGAAGTGGCCATTGCAAAACGCAGCCTAGATGGGTTGAGAGGCAGGTGACTTTGAAGCCGTGAACTCCTCATCTCACCCGCCTGTGCACTCCCCCAGGCGCAGCTCCTTGGTGCTTTCCACAGTCCAATCCACCAGCACCACACAGAGCTGGATCTTGTCCGGGTGCATCAGCGGGGAGCTGGCGATGGAGTAGGACCTTGGCTTCAGCACGGGCATCATCTGCAGCAGGTGCTCCAAGGGGGGCCGCGCAGAGGCGAATCTTTTGAAAACATCTGCGTGGTGAGCGAAGTCGTGGGTGAGGTCCCGGTACAAAGCTGCGCCATCCTTGCTGTTCTCCACGATGCTCCGCAGCTGGCTGCGCTCGCTTTCGTCCTTGGCGAAGAGCGACAGCGTCTCAAAGAACTTGCGGTTGGGCTTCCCGAAGATGTCCAGCACGTGGCTGAAGAGCTGGCGCACGCTGAGCTCTGTTGGGCACCAGTTCCGGGCACCCTCCAGCGGCAAGACCCGCAGATGCTGCGAGGCGTCCAAGCCCATCATCTCGCAGAACTCTAGCACCTTGTCTTTGGGGTTGCGAGGCCAAATGGCGAGGCTCTCCCCGGTCTTGTAGGACACGTTGGTGCCCTCGATCTTGAACTCGTAGTGCCGGATGTCCCGATCATACTTGGCGTCCCCCGTGAGCACGGAGTTCGTGAGCAGCGTGAGCCGGCTGGCCCCGGGCGGCACGATGTCGTCATCCGCCACGGGCAGGGCCTTGCCACCTGCGGACACGTCCACGCGGTAGCTGGGCACCGGCACGTCTTGGCTCAGCGGCAGGGCTGGCGCGCCCAGCGTTTTCCACAGCTCAGGCAGCCACGCCTCCCAGCCGGTGTAGTACCGGTCCTCGTCCCGGTCGTCGCCCACGCCCCGCTGAAGCATCCGCTGGCCGCCCAGCTCCCCCAGGCGCGTGTCGAAGCCTGCCGCGGCCACGCAGAACTGGCTGTAGGTGGAGTCTCCCAGCCCAAAGACGCAGAACTTCACACCCGACAGCCAGGACATCGGCAGCTCCGACTGCAGCTTCAGCCAGGTCTGCTTGCAGTTGGCTGGGTACTCCCCCAGCCCGCAAGTGGACACTACCAAAATCAGGATCTTCTGATTCGGCAGCTCCTCAAACTCAAAGTCGTCCAGGGAACTGGCAGCGGCCTTCAGGCCGCGAGCATGCAAATCCTGCACCAAGTTCTTAGCCTGCTCCTCCGCGTTGCCGGTCTCACTGCCATAGAGCACGGTGACGGCACTCTCGGAGCTCTTCGCGTCGGAGAGGCCCTCCACCAGCTTGCTGAACTGGCCCTCCAGGTCCTCCTTGTTCAGCACCTGCAGCAGGTGGTTCTTCTGCATCAGGTTCTCCTGCAGCTTTTTGTCCAGCTCCTCCGCGTGCTTGGGGTCTCGCCGCATCACCGCCGCAAAGCGGTTCTCCTTGGCCAGGAACTTGAAGAGGTCGCCCTTGATCTTGCGGCTGTCCAGCTGGAAGGCGTTGTTGCCCTGCGCCGCCAGCTCGGGGTTGAAGCGGTAGAGCGGCCAGTACCCACTGTCCACGGCCATCTGGCAGTGCTGGATGGACTCAGCCATCGGGAAGCCCTGGCTGATGCAGGGGGTGTAAGCCAGGATGAGGCTGGGCCCAGGGTAGGCGTCCGCCTCGATCAACGCCCTCACCGCCTGCTGCGGGTTCACGTGCACGCAAATGCTCGCCACGTAGACGTTCTTGTAGGTCATGGCCATCTGCCCCAACTCCTTCTTCTGGGTGACCTTCCCACTCTCCGCAAACTTGGCCATGGCGCCCTTGGGCGTCGCCTTGGAGGCCTGGCCTCCCGTGTTGCTGTACATCTCCGTGTCCAGCACCAAGATGTTCACGTGCTCCTCGGAGGCAATCACATGGTCCAGGCCCCCGTAGCCGATGTCGTAAGCCCAGCCGTCCCCGCCCACAATCCAGAAGCTGCTGCGGCCGAACATGTCTTCCAAGTCGAACAAGTTGTGGATCTTGGTGTGGTTGCCCTTCTCCTTCTCCAGCAGTGGCACCAACTTCTCCATGATCTGATGATAGATGCTCCGACCCTTGGGCAGCAGCAAGTCGTGCATCTGCTCCTTGCGCATGACCAAGTACTGCTGCAGCGCCTGGCGCAGCTCCTCAGACATCTGCACGGAGGAGTCCTGCAAGGCGTCCTCCACCTGCAGCGCCAGGTAGTCCCTGCGCTGCTTGAAGGCCTTGCGCATGCCGAAGCCGAACTCTGCGTTGTCCTCGAACAAGGAGTTGGCCCAGGCCGGGCCCTCGCCCTTGGAGTTCACGGTGTAGGGGAAGGACGGGTTGGACGCGCCCCAGATGCTCGAGCAGCCCGTGGCGTTGGCGATGACCAGGCGCTCCCCGAAGAGCTGCGTCATGAGCTTCACGTGGGGCGTCTCGCCGCAGCCCTCGCAGGCACCGCTGAACTCCAAAAAAGGCTTCTGGAATTGGGAGCCTTTGACCGTGGTCTTGTCGATCTCCTCGCCCCGCTCCGGGAGCGCCACCGCGAAGTCCCAGTTCTCGGCCTCCTCCTGGATCATCTGCTGCGCCGGCTTGAGGGCCAACGCGTCTGCGGGGCAGATTCGCACGCAGAGCTCGCAGCCCGTGCAGTCCCAGGGCGAGACCTGAATGCGGTACCGATAGCTGTCCAGAACGCCGCCCCCAATGGCACCACGACTGCCGTCCTGGAAGGATGGCGGCGCCTTCAGCAGCTCTTGCGAGGTCACCAGGAATGGGCGCACGGCCGCGTGGGGGCAGATGAGGCTGCACTTGTTGCACTGCGTGCACTTGTCCATGTCCACTTGGGGCACTTGGATGGCGATGCCGCGCTTCTCATACTGGCTGGTGCCCAAAGGCACCCGCCCCCCTGGCATGAAGGCGCTCACCGGCAGCGCGTTGCCATCCAGGTTGTTGCAGGGACCCTGCACCTGCTTGGCAAACTGCTCGGCGCTCTGCACCTCCGGGAACATGCGCGGGCCCTTGCCATAGCTGACCTTCTGCGCCGTGGCACCGCTGGCTTCACCCTCCACAGCCAAGCTGGCCCAGCTGTTTGGAACTTCGATTTCCACGATGCCTTCAATCGAGGCGTCCACGCCGTCGATGTTCATCTTCACCACCTTGTCGCCCTTCTTGCCGTACATCTTCTTGATGCTCTTCTTCAGCATCTCCACAGCTTCTTCGTAGGGCATCACGGCACTGAGCTTGAAGAACACCGTCTGCATGATCATGTTGATGCGCTTCCCCAGTCCAGCCTTCACCGCGATCTTGGTGGCATCGATGATGAAGAGCTTGGCCTTTCGCTCCGCGAGATCCCGGCGCATCTTGGCCGGCAGCTGCTTCTCGAGGTCTTTGGCCTCCCAGGAGCAGTTGATCACGCACACCGCATTCTCCTTAAGGTACCGGGTCATGTCGTAGTTCTGCACGTAGCTGGACTTGTGGATCGCCAGGTAGTCAGCAGCACGCACGTTGTAGGGCGCATGGATGGGCTGAGGCCCGAAGCGGAGGTGGCTGATGGTCACGCCGCCGCTCTTCTTGGCGTCATACTCAAAATACGCCTGGGCGTGCAGCTGGGTGCCTACAGGGGTCACTGGATTTCCCCTTCAAAAACTACAATTTTGACTGGGCGGTTTCCATTGAAGCGATAGATCGCCACTTTTGGAGGTTCCCCAAAGGAAATGACCGGAACCCCCCCACCTAGCGCGATCATCTTCACCGCGCTCTTGTTGGCGCCCACGGTGCCGTCAGAGCCCAGGCCGTAGAACATGCACTCCGTGGTGCCCTCCGGCAGAACGTTGAGCCAAGGACCCACCGGCAGGGAGAGGTGGGTGACGTCGTCCTGGATGCCCACGGTGAACCGGGGCTTGGGGGTGTCCTGGGCCAGGTTCTCGAAGACGGAGAGCACCTGCGCACCACCCAAAAACCATGTTGGCTCTTCCAGCATCACAAAGGTATTATAAGCCATGCTCAAACATGGCGTATGCTGTGGTCGTGATTTGCTTAACAGGAATTCATCACAATAATTAGTCAGGATCCTTGCTACTAGGTGGATGACCATCCCTGTTAACCCCAAGTAAAGGAACCGGTCTTTTGACCGTTGCACATTCAGTCCTTGCCAACACTATGAAACCAGGCAACAAAACAAATGAAACACATCCTAACAATTGCGCGGCCCCTCTTGAACTCCGTTTTGGGTGCTCTCACCTGGTTGGGCGTGAACTCCTTGGAGCCCAGGCCATAGCGCCCTCCCACCACCACGATCTCCGAGTGGGCGCTGGCGTGCAACGTGGAGGCCACCTCCAGTAGCAGCGGCTCGCCCTGGCTGCCGGGCTCCTTGGTGCGGTCCAACACGCAAATGCGCTCCGTCATCTTCGGCAGCGCCGCCAAGAACCGGCTGCTGTCCCAGGGCCGGAACAGCCGCACCTTAAAGTCTGAAAGTTGGTTCGCGCGTCTGCTTGGGCTTTGTTTCAAACGCAAGCCAAGGGGAAACGGAACATTTTGTTGCTGTGGTGTTTTCCTACTTCAAGAAGCGCCCGCCTTGAGCACGCCCACGCGCTGGCCCTTCACCTTGGACAGGTACTGGGCGGTCTCACCGCAGGTCACGGCAGCGCTGCCCATGACCACGATCACGTGCTTCGCCTCCGGGTGGCCCTCATAGCCGTACAAGGCGAAGTGGAGCCCCGTCTTCTGCTGCACCAACCTCGGTGCAAGGCTCGGCCAGGCTCCAAAGGGAGCAAAATCTTCCGCAAGCTGCCCAAATCGTGGCTGCTATAGTACAAGCTCAAGCGACTTCAAGTGACCGAGCTACAAGACAAAAACCACAAAAAAAAACTCCAAGGAGCTTGCCCTTCTCCTCAAACAAATCCGCCAGGCCGTCGTAGAAGGTGTTCCCCGCCTCCACACACTGGAAGAAGATGTCAGGCCCCTGGGAGGTGCCCTGCACGTGGGGGTGCCGGGGGTTCATGGCCAGGTCATGGTGCTCCTTGATGGCATCCCAGTCGATGAAACTCTTCCTGGTGCCATTAACCAACAAAGGAACCAAGAAAAACTTATCGGATTCTCTTACCAACCCATACAAGCGAACCTCAAAACAGAGAAACCTCACCAAAGTCAATTCCCCCCGAAGTCAAGGGTCATGGTCTGGTAGTCGATGAGCTTCACCTTGTTCACCTCGTGGCTGGTGCGGAAGCCGTCAAAGAAGTGCTGCACCGGAACCCGCCGCTCCATGCTCACCAGGTGCGCCACCAAAGCGTTCACCTGGCGACTCTGAAGGCATCGAGACAAGGGACATAGCCACGGTTTGGGGTCTGGCCGGACCCCAAACGCCTCTAAAACGGTTTGCAAGTCGACAACAATTAATTCGCTTCAAGGGAAAAGGAAAAATGTCCGCGCCTGCGCCATCTCCACGGACTCGGAGGCCAGCATCGCCCAGCCGGTGGCGCGGCACGCCATGACGTCGGAGTGGTCCCCGAAGATGGAGAGCGCCTGCCCCGCCAACGCCCTGGCCGCCACGTGCATCACGCAGGGCAGAAGCTCCCCGGCGATCTTGTACCTACCGTAACCTACCGAAACTTTGATCTCCGATCGAAATTCGTTGGAAATGGTGATCTTTGAGAGGTTTGCCGAAAGCGAAAGTCTGGGCGAAATGGCCGTGGGTCAAAAAAGCGGTACTCAAAATGGAACCCTGACAGATGGAAACATGGACTAAAACCTGTGGTCTCGTGGTGGTCTAATTTTGCCCCATGCCCAAATAAAGCTAAGGTACATGTTGGGGATCATCAGCAGCAGGCCCTGGCTGGCCGTGAAGGTCGTGCCCAGGGCCCCTGCCTTCAGAGACCCGTGCAGCGCCCCGGCGGCGCCGGCCTCGCTCTGCATCTCCGTGACGGACAGCTTCTGACCATAGCCTCAGTTAACGGACCCCACGGACCCCACGGACCCCACGGACCCAACGGACCCAGAAGCCTTAAATGGCTGGGTGAGTAGCAGTTGATGAGGCCCTGCGCTGCCCACTCGTCCACCATCTCGCCCATGGGGGAGCTGGGGGTGATGGGGTAGATGAAGGCGCAGTCACTGAGGGCGTAGGCCACATGTGCTGCCGCCTGGTTCCCGTCGATGCAGGCCACGGAACCCTCCGCTGCCTCAATGATGTCCGTGTCCGCACACTGGTGCACGATGGTCTTGTTTTCTGCTTGGAACATGGCTCGCTGGACCTCCTTAGCCTTCATGAACTGCTCGTACTCGATGTCTGCCGCTCCAGTCCCTGCGCCGAGAGGTTCCAATCGCTGAGGAGTCTCCTCAGGTTGCTCCTGACCCCGGAGAAGGAATTGGAGGCAGAGCCCGCCGTAAGGGCCGAAGGGAGAGGTCTGCCCGCGAAGTGCCATCGCCAGTCGCTCGGGTGACTGAGCTTCGCACACCGATCTGCTTGGACGCTTGTGGTTCAGTCTGAACCGCTCAATGCTGGCAACAAGGCGCAGGAAAGCATTCAAACCCCAGGCCCACTATAAGAGGTGGCTCTATCTGGCGGGGGCCTACCTTCCCGACTCGGAAGTCCAGGGCAAACGGTCCTGCCTGCCGCCTGGGCTTGTGGCCTCGGGCCGCTTTGAGAAGCTTGAGCCCACTGGGTTGGCCAAACTTGGGTCCTTGTTGCGATCACCGGATCCAAGGGCGGTACCCGGGGTTTCCAAAAAAAAGGATCATCTTCGTGACTGGGTGTGGCTCAAAATTCAAGAGCTAGTGCAAACCGCAGGATTTGGTCCTTGGTTCGCCATTTGGGTGTCGTTTGAGGGGACCCAAAAAAGTAGTTTCCCTTTAAACGACAAAAAGGGGTACCACCCTCCAAAAAGACTCGGAGCATTTTTTAACAGCCAACTGACCATTCACGTGGTAACCACTCGGGTCCCAGCGTCTCCGCGGCAATGGCCTGCTGGACAGGCGGCGCCACCACCTCTTTGCCTCGACCACGAGGCACTGTCACTGACCGCAAACCCGGTGAGTTTTTTGGGCTCCACGTCCAAGCCCACCTGATCCGTGTTTCTCAAAATCAGGGACTCCTTTAGATGCTTGGTTTCCTTTTGGACTCCCCAGAAAGAAGCCATCCAAAACAGGATCGATTGCTATGTTGAGAAGCACCAATCTTGAGAACTGGAACTCCTTAACACAGCCTCCTTTGTGGAGGAAATACCGCATCAATGACCCCGCAACTCTCCACAGACAGCTCTGAGCAGGGGCCGGGTGTCCGCGCTCTTCTTCTCCGCCTTGTCGATGCGCTCCAGGCAGCTCTTTGCCTGCGTTTCGGCCTGCGGAGAAAAAAATAGGCACCGCATGGTGCGTGCTTTCCTTTCTTTTTTGTCTGTTGTTGTGCTTGTTGTTTTGCTTCTGGTGTTCACATCCGTTCATGCTTTCTTGGGGGAGAGGGCACTCAGCACCTGGAGCCAGCGGAAAAAGCAATGGCCGAATTTCGCGCACGCGCCCTGCCTGGCGATCATGTAGACCGGCGGCTTGCTTCAATGCCTGCTGCACCACCTCCTTGGCCTCGCGTTCAGGTTGCCACGCCGCCAATCTGTTGCCATAGGCATCACCGTATCACCAGTTCCGCGCCTCGTCGTAGTGCTTGAGACCTGCGAATTGCCGGACCACTCCGGCCCCACCAGTTTTCCACTTGTTCTTTTTTTCACCTTTGAAGTGGGTTGGTGAAAGGGGGCAACAAAACCAATTCCTGTCTCTGACTGTAACCAGAAACCGCCAACCTACTGACCCAAACCCCTCCCGCCGCCCACGCACCACTCGCGCTGTCCGCCTGCGAGGCAGTCCGCAGCCAGAACCTTACACTGGACCATGGCACCTGAGCGACGGCTGTGCACAGGTTCCAGCCATGTGGTCTCTTCAGTTGTTCCCATGTGTTTTGTGCTTAGGAAATCGAAAAGAACAAACCACGGCATTTTTGGGGTCCCCCCAAAACGACGGGCATTGAATAGGCTGGGTTCGCTGTGGGCTTCAGCTCGCAAGGCCCCTGGCTACCAGCGGCGATGCTCTCAAAGCACTTCTCCGCATCCATGACAACCTCAGCTCAGCTCCGGGACTGTTTTGCGAAGAGTTCCGATTCGGATTCGGCATGTGAATTCCGCATCACACTCGAGTTGGACCTGGGGTGTCTTTTTTGAGGTTGCCCTTCGATTTTTGAATGGAAAGGGTTTCCCAAGGTTGCTTACGGTTGCTTCCTGGTTTTTTCCAAGGGGAGGAGTCCGGTCCTATACGCCGTCACTCGCTCGGGGCCGGCACCCGGAAGGCCTCCTCCAGGCGGCCCCGGAAGCCCAGGACTTGGGCGCGCCAGAAGAGGGCGCCGGCGCCTGCCCGCGGTTTCGCGATTCGGGGGTGCGATTTGCTTTTGAGTGGAAAGGGGCGAAAGGGGCGAAAGGGGCGAAAGGGGCGAAAGGGGCGAAAGGGCGAAAGGGGCGAAAGGTGTTTTCGGTGTTCGTGGGTTTTCGGCAATTCCATAGCTCCAAGCCCTGACTTGGTTCCAGAGGCCTGAGAGCTTTGTTCTGAGGGAGATGGTTCGAATGGCCGAGGTGCGCAACACATACCCAATCCAAAAGCTCCTCCAAATGGCACGGTCATGCGAGGGTTTCCTTCGTGCTCAATCATCACCTGACATTTAGATTTGTCTTGTGAAGGACAGCTGTTTAAAACATAAGACAACGTCTGTCTGGCAGCGACTCAAGTCGCCAAACTACTCACCTGCAGAAAGGGAACGGCATGTGTTGGCATCTAAAACTGAAACTTCTTCATCCTTTGCTGCTCAGATGGATCTGATCAGACCAGAGACTTGGGGAGAGCTCGGGCTCAACCCCAGCAAGGCAATGTACGTTTGCCAAAGCATCATTCTGCAAGAATTATCTCAACTTGCGAACATGGTAGGATTCCTTCACAGCAACTACCGGAATCCAGAAAACTTGCACTTGGGTCGACTTCGACTTTAAACATATATCAGCCCGATGGAACTGCAAAACGGAATAGCCCGAACTACTGAGGACCAAGCGCAGCTGCTTGCTGTTCAAATGCCGGCCTCAAGTGGACATCGAAGAAACCTTCCAGAGTGCCCACTCCCAGCGACGAAAGATGAAACGCCCGCGTGGTGATTAGCCGGATGAGATGGGGACTAATCATGACAGCTCGTCCGACTGAGACTCCTGGCAAGCAGTAATCGCATCGTTGGCTGCCCGCATCGCCTGAGCCCCGATAATGTCTGCCGCTTCATCACTTCCCCTCATGCAGCCAGCCAAGTCCATCTCCCGAACGCCGAAGACAAACCATCCAGTGAAGGCCCCAGTTGGAAGTGCAAAAGGATCAAAGTCTGTGATACCTATGAAAGAGCGATTGGCACATGGCAGAGCCCATCATGATGTAGCTCACGGCTCAGAGGTTGTCTCTTTCTCTGTCTCTTTCTCTGTCTCTTTCTCTGTCTCTTTCTCTGTCTCTTTCTCTGTCTCTTTCTCTCTCTCTCTCTCTTGGGTTGCTTCCCAAGCCAGCGTTTTGCTTGGCACACCCTGCTCCACTCAAGCACGCTCGCCTTCTCAGCAGAGTTGCGGTACGACGCCGAAGCCAGCGCCTCAAGGACACGCGAGCTGAAGCCAGCGAATCTTGAGCAGAATGTGATATGAGTCTGTCTGGGGAATCTTCTTTTGGTTGAATTTCAAGGGAAGCCAAGTGGACAACACACCTATTTTGCCAGGTCCAATAAAAAAAGACACACCCATATACACCAACGATCAAAGCTCGGCGCAAGAGCTTGAGGTGTCGGACTTGTTGCAACTCAGAACGGATGAACATTTGCACCTCTTGCTTAAGCTCAGGATAGCTGGAGGTTTGGAGTTGAGGATATGTCAAGAGCAACCTAATCGCCCCAGGCAATGCAAGCTGCACAGTTCAACTTGCACTCTTTGACTTGGAGCCACAGTCGAGAGGCGCCTCCTTTGTCTCACCTTCTGCCTCGCTGCTCATCTTCTTCAGGCACGCCTGAGCAAAAATCAAGGCTACCGAAGTACAGTGGGTATGGGTCAACATTAAACCACCAGGGGACCGCAAGTTGTCCACGTTTCCATCTACCAGGGTTCCGTTTTGAGTACCTATTTGTGACCCGCAGCCCAATGAAATCGCCCTTCTGTCTGGCCAAACAAGTTAGGCCCTGTTCCCACGGCTCTAGGCTCTTGAAATCGCCCAATGGGTGTCTGTGTTTTCAGCGGCCCCCAAAAAGGGTGGCTCAAAAAGGGAAAACCACGGAGAAGCACCGCCCCATTTTGGAAGGGGACCGGGAGGTTCCCTGTGGGCCCAAGCGCCGACTTCGCGCCTGTGCCAGGTGCACGCAGGCCACCGACTCCGCTGCCTTGTCCCCCACCTCCTGGAAAATCTTCTGGGCCTGGCCGCGAGGTGCCCGGGCGCGACTGGGCCCGCAAGGAGTCGATGGATCTTGCCGGATCTTCCAAAACTTCCGGGTGACCCTCTGAATGGTGCAAAGCTCATGTCGGACGCATGTGTATGAGAATCATGCGAAGCTGATAACAGCAGGAGCAAATGCGGCCAAGATCATATCTTTGTCCCTCTGCACTTAAGAATCAGAAAGCCAAGAGGCGAACGCAGAGAAAGAAAAGGAACCATGGGAGCTGCAGGAGTTTTTTGTGTCTTGTCCAGCGAGGTTTGGGAAGCATGCTCTTGAAAGTTTCCCAGGAATCGCCCTTTCAAAGACACCAAATAAATGTCCAGGTTAACCCCCTTCTATCAAACCAACACTTTTGAAAAGGCCTCCAGCCCGCTTTTCTCTGCCGCATCATAGTCCTTGGCAAAGGCATGAAGATGGATTGAGAGGCACCTTCAGCTGCTCTCGGAGTACTTACCGCATGTCTCCAAGAGCTGGCCAGTATTGAAAGAAGGGACGTCATGATATGGCTGTGGGTCAAAAATAGGGTAACCCCAAAATGGCTTGCCCTGGTAAATGGAAACATGGATGCTCGCTGGTAGGAGCTCCGATAGCTCAAAGCTGGTATCTGGGGCAGCAGCCGTGCTGCCAAGATAAATCCTGGCCTAGGCGCATCACAAGCACTCGGCAAGCAACTCCTTCATGGGCCATTCACCTCATACTCAGCCAAAGCCTTTTCCTTTTGGGTGTTTTTGTTTGGATTGAACCCCCAAAATGGACAGACCCTTTTGCAGGTACCGGCCAAAGTGATGACCACAAGGTTTTGCTCACTGGCAATGGGGAGCCCTAAGTCTGACTGTGCGCCCCACCAGCTGCAGGACAGCATCGCCCTCCTCCTGTCAGCTGCCGCGCTCACAGCCAATTGTGTGACTCTGAAGGCACTTGCCTGCGTAGCCATCAGCAATACTAGAGAATTAATTTCAACTAGGGACCCTCTGGTGCACTTCATTCAGGTAGCCACCAAGCACTTTCGATCTGCATGTTCTGCGCGCAACCTGCCTGCTCACGTGGAAGTTGTTTGCATGCTCATCACGACCAGGCAAGCTTCCACGTCAGTGGCATGCGGAGAACGATCGGTTCTTTTCATCCCCTCCCAGAAATGGATGTGTATTCTGGGCCAATCAGAAGGAATACCTGACTATTTCGGGAGCTCCAGCGTCGCAAACCCTTTTCGCCCTCGGCACATGCCCCATTTTGCAAACGCCCGGCCTTCCGGCAGCCAAGGCCCTGGCAGTGCATAGCTAGTCGAGCATCGAGCACAGAGGGATCAACACGACAAGGACACCAAGCACAAGATGGGGTGTGGCTCAAAACTTCAGAGCTAGGAACCACGCAGGTGTTGATCTTGTTTCCATTTACATCCACTTACCTGGCCAGTTTGCGTGCATTTTGTTTCATCCACGGCCACGTTCTGCTGACTGTCCACAGTTTGATGGCGTCCGCCCGACCGCCCCCCCGCTGTCCCCCCCCCCCGCCCCGCCCCGCGCCTTCCACATGGCCCGCCGGTCCCTCGCGGCCTGGGCCGCCTCGTCGTAGCCCTCCTTCGCGAGCTGCGCCTGCGTGCCGTTCGATGGGTACCCCCAGTGAACATCCGAGTCAATCCCCAAAAGAAAGCCTGAAATGGGTGGTGCACCGATTTCAACCCCAAAATGGTACCATTGGTTTTGACCCACAGATGGGTATGGGTCAAAAGTATATGGACTGCCGGTTGTGCTTGTTTCCATTTGCCAGGCAAAAACTGTGTTGGGTACGTATTGTTGACCCAAATTCAAATGGGTCGACGACTTTGGGGACATGGGGCTGCGGTTGGACTGCCGACACGGCAAGGGAAACCAAAGCAAAGCCAGCAGAGAAGTAACGAAACATGGGAAGGATATCGTTTCTCGGATGGGGACCCCCTGTTTGGGCGGTTTTAAAGGGAAACCAAGGAACACCGAAGCCATTTGGGGGGTCCAACCTCAACAAAGATACATCATGGTGGACCCCATTTTGTTTTGAAACACCCCGAGCAGGGAACGCAAATGTAGTGTCGCAAGTCTGAAGCATATGGCAGGTGCAGTTGGCTGCACATTGTTCACTTGCCAGCTGCTGAGATAAATCCGAGCCTCAGCGACTTGTTGCAGTGCTGCCGACTGGCCAGCTATAAACTCTTCCTCCTGGCAGTCGCTTGTCTGCCAAAATGAAGCTTGTGATGAACATGCCCATCATAAGCCTGCTGCTGGCCCAGGATTCAATCAGCACTGTTCCCAAGCAAATGTCCTCGAATATATCATGCGCTTCGGTCGCTACCTGCAGCATTTCTTGGGCACCTCAGCCACTTCTACAGCTAGCTGCTTTGCAATGCCCGCACCATGACAAAGCAGAGCTCAGCATGAACCTGTGTGGACAGCATACCGTGCTTCATCCAAAGGCAACAGAGCCAATCTTCAAAATGCTTGACACAATGGGTTCAGGTAGCTTTGGCTGCTGCTGGAAGATGCAGAGTCCACGCCCAGGATGGATGCCTTGGAATCAGAGGGCCCCAGTTGAAGAGATCAGATGTCAGATGTCTGCGGCTGATCGAATGCCCACACTGTGTCACCGACCCGGTGGAGCAAGGCAGTTGCTTCGCCCATCCTGGCAACATCGCTGCTTGGACTTTGGATTGGGGTCTGCGCTCAGTCAACCAAGTGACGATCACGCAAGATCGGCATGATTCACAAAAAAGGCATTGCACTTTGGCAATCGCCATCTGGGTTTGTTAATTTGTATGTCGATGGCTTGTGTTAGGGATCGCCCACCATACCAAACGGTATGTGTCACACTTGGTCAGAGCCAGAAGCGGACCCCTCAATCAAAGGAAGGCCTAAGAACACTGGCTGGCTTCCCAAGTGCCCATCTCGGTCCTGTACTCAGCCCTCTGGTAGAGCCCACGTGCTTTCTTGGCTGCAGCCAGGGCCTGGCAAACCAGACACTGGAACCCAAAAAGGAATGAAAACCAGGACTAAAATCTGCGGTCCCCTGGTGATTTAATTTTGACCCATACCTATGTAGGTTGGCATTTGTGTCCAGTTAAAACGGGATTCCTTGCACACGACAGTGGCTGTAGTGACCCCGCAAAGCCGGGCCTTCACTAAGGAGGCCCTGTCCAGGGTGCCTCTGACAAGGACAGACAGCAGAAGGATCCTGAGCGGCGACAGTCTGAACGTCCAAGCATGATGGCGATCATTCTATTTAGCAGTCGCCTCGAGCAGCAAAACAATGTGGAAATAGAAGTAGAAGTAGAAGCACAAGTAGAAGTAGTAGTAGTAGTAGTAGTAGTAGCAGCAGTAGCAGCAGTGGGTGGCGGTGGCGGTGGCGGTGGCGATGGCGGTGGCGGTGGCGTGGGGGTGGCGGTGGTGGTGGTGGTGGTGGTGGTGGTGGGGGTCGCTCTATCGCCAGAGGTGGTTGTAGGTAGTGGTAGTGGTAGCAGTACCGTAGGAGTAATCGTCGTAGAAGCAGCTGCGTGCAGTAGTAGCAATAATAGCAGGAGCGTAATTGCTGCTCTTGCTGCTGCTGTTGCCGTTGCCGCCGCCACCGATGCCGCTTCTGTTGCTGCTGCTGCTGCTGCTGCTGCTGCTGCTGCTGAAGAAGAAGAAGAAACGGACTGTAGCAATTAAGTAGCTACTGGCAGCAGAACCAGCAGTAGCTGCACTAGCAGCAGCATCATGATTTGTATAGGGCGCAAAAAGGTAGATTTGTTTTTGCGCACGGCTACCAATTGTCTGTCCACGAGTAGAGAGGCACGTGAGGCTGCCGCTCGGCATCTCCTTCCTCTCTCGCATCCCGAAGCTCCTGCAAGCTAGGCTTCAGGCTTTTGGATTCGCCATAGATCGAATTGCAGCCCACTGGTTCATCAGCAGATTGGATTTAGTGGGCGCCATTTCAGGACTCACTCTCTTGCATGCTCGACCCTCCTACCTAACCCGAAAAGTACCACTTCCCTATACTTATCAAGGTATGGTACAATCCCAACAGCTAGTGACTCAAAAGGCGCAGTAGGTCACCTCCAATCCGTCCTGAGCGATGGCCGCGGCTTCCTCCGCAGCCTCCAGGGCGTCGGCCCGGCTCTGGAGCTGGACATTCACCTGCCCCATCCCTTCATTCGGCCAAAAATACAAATGAACCTCCATAGAAACGAACCTGACCGCCTCCCATCCACCAGGAACTCTCACAGGAAAGTGCCCTGGAAGACGAGCTTCCGGTTAAAAGAGACCCTTGTGGGCTCCATCTTCGTGGAGCAAAGCGCAGCGCTGGAGATATCCGCCGCTACGCTTTTCGCAGCTCGCACTTCTGGCCTCGGCATGGGAGTACTGCAACAGCAGCTCCAAGCGCCGGTCCTGACCGGACGAGGCGGGCCAAGGCGGTACTGTCGCTCAGCAAAGCCAAGCAAAATGAAGGGAAACGGGTTCCAACCGGCCGAGAAATTGCTTGACCCCGGCCGTTCCCAAAGCCCAGAAAGGCCATGGAGTGTTGTTTGTCCCGTCCCGGTGCGAGTCAGAGATCGAAATGCTCCAACAACGCCACGTCGGCAACTTGTCAACCAACTGGAAACCTGCTCGATCCAACGTCAGAAGCGACGAGTGCAACAAACAAGCCAGGCTGACGCCCATCTCGCGAGCAATGTCGATTGCCTTCGGCTTGCAACTGATCATGATCACAATGGCTGCGGCCACCAGTGCCACTGCTACCAACATTTGAATATGTCCGTGCAGGGTCATTTTCAGAACTGCAGCAATCCGGAGCTGTTTGTCGCCCGCTCAACGAGATAGGGCCGTGTCAACATCGAATTATCCTGCTAGTCTCTGTGTTGTACAGTCCCCCAAAGGCTGCCAGCTTTCCGCATAAAAACCAGCATCCCATCACGGGAAAAGAGGTAATACAATCGGGGGGGTTCTCAAAGAAGGGGACCATGCAAATGGTTGAGGTCAAGATACCTTCTTGGGGTCCCCCTTCCAACCAACAACTTGAATCAACGTCTCCGGGGCAAAGCCTCGTCCATCGCCGTGAGCGCAAGCTCTGGATGGTCACGTTTCAGCTGGGCCCGGGCGACCACAACCAGCCTCGGGGCCGGGCCGGCTGCGCGTATCGAAGCCTTGCGACCGGAAAAGAGCCGCCGGTGTTTGTCTCGGGGAGTTGAGCAATGTTTTTGTTTCTGAAGGAAGACGGCACGCATCGAAACCGCGATTTCCGACGAAGCCGCTTCAGAACGCGGAGGCTTGCCTAAGATCTGAGTTCCGTGGCCCAATCACGTTGGCCCGGTCACCCGCCTGCGAGTCAACCCTGGAACCCCCTCCCTCCCCCTCTCACTGGGGCCAACCTAACGTAGGGATCAAATCAAGCAGGAGACTCTAGCTGATGGCCGTTTGTTCAGGCACCAGAAACATGTGGCTGGGAGTGCTATTGGCACTCGCTCATTCATCAACTTTCAGTCCCAGCCCTCCATGTGGGTTGTCAAGGAGGCAGGATGAGGAGGCAAGGGACGCTCCTCTACTATCGCTGGAGCAGTGTTGTTGATGTATGTTGCTGAACATCGTTACTCCGTTCAAACATATATGTACCACAAAACACAGGCCATAATTAGAATGAAACACTGTCAATCATGTTTCTGCCACACCGGCGCCATGTCCTTTGGCCCTGAATAGGAACCTGTCATCCTCTTTCCCCGAGACAAGATACCGGCTGCCCCCCCCCCCACACCCATGACTTTGGAGCATACCCGATGCGAGGCTCACGCTTTCGGGCCGGGCCTTCTTGAGGCGGTCTAGGCACTCCTCCGCTGCCTTCAAACCCCGCCGCACCTTCTTAACCTCGAAACCATTCGCAGAGTGGCAAGCTACTCGAATGAGTTGGGTGAATTCAAGACATCGTCTGACACTTGTTGAAAGTTTAGTAGGTCATTCCGAAGGATCACTTGAACTGGACACGTTTTGGTTTTGCCCGGCGATGTTACAACACCAAGCCTTGTCAGAAACCTCTGGGAAACAAATGGTAGGTAACCCTTGAAAGCACTTTGTCACGCATTTTCGGGGTTCCCCATGTTGAGACAAAGCCGCATCATCGTCCCGTAAGGCCGTGGTGCAGGTTCGGGGCTGGTAGGTTGGGGAAGGGGGCGGGTTCGGGTTCGGCTGGGGACAGGTTAGGCTCTGGAACGAATTCCGGACGATGCCCGGCTATTCCTCTTCTTCTTGTTCCGGCTGCTTCAGATGTGACCAAATCTGCTCCCAGGTTGGAGGCACCCGTTGAAAGAAACAGCATTCGATAGAAAGCAAGGCCCAACTTCAATACTTGTGGAATATGGCAAACATGTTGCCGGCAATGCGCAAAAGCATTGATTGAACCTCAGCAAAGGCACTGGATCGCTGGATCCTGAGGACCAAAGAACTCAAGAATCTGATAATTTGGTGGTGATTGCATTGCTTTCAAAGAGCTCTGTGGCTTTCTCTCTAGAAAAAACAACAACAAAAAATCACCACGGAAAAAGCTCTCCATGCCTTAACCGAATGGTGTGTTAACAACGAATGGGGCCTAGAGCTCACTCAGAAATCTATGGCCCCCAGCACCAGCCAGCGCGTCCACGAGCAAGAGACAGGCCTTTGCCTCGACTTGACAGAACTTCCCACGCTGGCAACAGGTCTCTGGCATAGGTGGCCTTTTGGAAAAATAGATGGGTTATCTGGTAAATGGAATAAACCCCATCTAAACCAGTTCCATCTATTTTTAACCAAACTACCCTAAAAAGGACACCTATGGTCTCTGGTGTCTCCTTAACACAACCAAAAATTATTGCAGCAGGTGCACCAAGAATACCCAAACATATAGGTATGTTTTTTGTTGAGGGTACCCTTTGTATTAGCGATCCGTCCAGCGACCTCAAACCTGACCTCCCAGCCACCTCCATTTCTGAACAGTTGTGTCTCTGGACACCATGCGCCTATTGACGAAAATTTTCAGACAAGGGCCCAAAGGACCACCCGATCGATGATTCAAAGAATTACCCATAAGAGGATCTCAAAAAGAAAAGAACGTCAGAGACGAAGGACCTCATCATGACCTCATCTCACTTCCTGAGATTTGCCCAACAAAACTGGGGTCATTATTTTGACTGTTTCTAGGGGTTATCAAAGTCAGAAGCTGGGGTTGTTTCCCCTTGAGCTATCACTTGGGAGTGACTTTGACGATGGTGAAACGATGGGGCCAGCAAAAGTAACCAAACTGTTTGTGTACCAAAACGATCGATGTCGCTGGCATTCAGCCCGACATCGCGCCTCTTCCAGCGGCGGCGCCTGAAGCTCCAGCTGCAGTGCCATCGCCTGGAGAGCGACTGGCGAAGTGGCGCATCTTGTTGGAGGTTGGACCCCCAACAAAAAAAACAAGGCTTCGGCGGCTTTTTTTCCCTGTTGGTTTCCCTTAGAACCAGAAGGGGCACGCCTGGTTAAAGAAGAGAAAACCGTGAGGAGTTTTGTTGGTCTACCTGTACCCTTGAAGCAACACACACCCAAATGTAGTATGGCTGTGGTCCGGTGGTAGTACGGTCGCAGTTTGTCAAGTCTGAGGAAGGTGCGAAAGTCTTGGAGATTGTCTGGCTCTGGCAAGGGGAATCTTGAGCACAGGTGTTCATGGAGGGGAGCAACAAATTGTGTCCACGTCCTCGAAATTTAGGGGTCAGTGAGTTGTGTTTGGGTGCGTTTGTTTTTCGTTTTTCGTCTGGGCCTAACATGTCGTATTTTACAGCATTTTCTCGCGAAATTGACGCAGTTTACGCTAGCCCGTCAACATCCCCAGCATCGTTTTCAACATCCCCCGAAAAGGTAGCTGGCGGGTTGACGGGGTCAAAAAAATGATTATTCAAATAGGAGGGCATTTCAGTCCCTGTAAACAAAGAAAAGTAGCGGGGGGGTTGGGGGGGGCTGCCGATTCAAATAGGGGTGCAATTCAATCTCTGCAAAAAGTCTAAAAAGTAGGGGGGGTGGTGGGGGCTGCCGCCCCCATGATGTTCGAAGACTTGATGATTCAACTAGGGGTGCAATTAAATCTCTGCAGAAAATCTAAAATGTAGCGGGGGGTTGGGGGGGGCGGCAGCCCCCCCATGATGTCGGAAGAAGTGATGATTCAAGTAGGGGTGCAATGATTCAAGAAAGGGTGCGATAGAATTTAAAAGTCAGCGGGAGGGTTGGCGGGGGTGGCTTCCCCTATGATGTTCGAAGAAGTGCATACATACAGACATACATGGATTACACAGATTACCTAAAATATCGTATGTTGCAGCATTTTCTCGCGAAATTGGACGCTCGAAAAAGTGATGATTCAAATAGGGGTGCAATTCAATCTCTGGAAGAAACCTAAAAAGTAGCGGGGGGTTGGGAGGGGGCGGCAGCCCCCCCCATGATGTTTGAAGAAGTGTTGATTCAAATCGGGGTGCAATTACTCTGCAAACAATCTAAACAGTAGCGTGTGGGTTGGGGGGGGGGGCTTTTCCCCCCCATGATGTTCGAAGAAGTGATGATTCAAATAGGGAGGAACTGGTGATGCTGATGGTGCAAAAGCCACAGAGAGGACTGTGAAAGCAGAGGATGCGAAAAAGCCAAAGCCGCCAAAAGCCGCATAAATGCAAAAGCCAAAACACCACCTGCCAAAAGGAACTGGGAATGCAGAGGATGCGAAAAGCCAAAGCCAAAAAGCCGCCAAAAGCCGCATAAACCAACAAAAAGCCGAAAGCCCAGAAGCCGAGAAGCCAAGAAGCCAAGAAGCCAAAAAAAAAAACGGGGGGGGGGGAACTAATTGATGTATACCTGAACCCTCCAAAAAGTACTGACATTTCTGTACAGAGAAGAAAAAGAAGAAACAAAACGTCAATGTACACTTTTGAGGAAAATTGACGGAAATCGTTTTTAGCGCTGTGAGCGTTTGTGGTGCACATGGATGCACATAAACACAGCTTGCAATTTACATGGCCCGTCATACTTAATTCCGTTTGAGGTCATTCGTCTCCTATTGCTGTGTAATAAATACCCCTCCGTTCTGTGTGGGGGTGCCCCTCAACCCCCTGAAACCCCCCAAAACCCCTAAACCACCCCGCAAAAACCCTCTAAACTCCCAAACCCTCAAGCCCCCCGACCCCCTAAACTCCCTAAACCCCCTGAACCGCGTGATGCCAGGGGCCACGGATAGTGTTCTCGATTCAAGGTGAGTCTTTCTTTGAGTGGGTCCTGTGCTCTCCACTTTTACGACTGAGGGGTGGAACAGGGCAAAGCACTGCTCAGAAGAAAAACAGCGACGTTTCAACTTTGCCCACTGCTCGCTGATTGCTTCCCCTTAACGCGCCTCCTTGGCCATGACCAAGGCTTTGTGCGGCTTGTCCTGGCTCGGATGTCCAAGCCACCGGTCTTCCTAGGGTCTTGCTACACGAGCAAAGAAGATGACATGTGTTTGTGCCCGATAAACCTTATGACCCAAAAGGCTTCAGTTTTCCTCTAGGCTTCCCTTTAGAAAACCACCAAAAACAAAAAAGATACACCCTTCTACTGTCCACAAAATATGTTACAGCTTCACCACTAACAAATTCAGCCGCCTGCACAAGGCCCCAGGAGACCAAGGTCTGCAGCAGCACCACCTCCGCCCTGGAAGCCAGGCTTGGATCCCGCCAAACCCGGGCGCCCGCACGCGTCTTCACCCGTGACTGAGAGAGCCAGTTGACAAGCTGGATTCACTCAGTCTCGTCGACCAAGCAACACTTTTGTAGGGAAGTGTTTCTGCGTTTCAGCGTCATCAAATGTGGCCACAGCTGAGTAGGGTGAGCTCACAAAAGGCATGACACCATGCCCACCGTGTCTTGTTTTTGTTGGGCGATCTGTCTACTTGGATCTTTCATTCAGTGCTTGTTCATGCAGAAGCTGGCAACAATGCGGGGGAATCTCTAGCAAGTGTCCGAATCTCGTAGATGCCTTGTCCCTTCTAGTCTCATTGCTCCAACATTTAGCTGCCAGTCACCAGGTTGGCCCACTTGGCCTCTTGTCTCCCGCAGCACGGACAAGCTCAAGAGCCTCCACATCGGGAAAAGCTTGAACGCTTCGTCAAAGAGAAAAACGGAGGACCCTCGCCAAGAAACATGGGTGTTTTGTGGCTTCAAGGGGAAGCCAACAGGACAAGTCCCCTAAGAAAGAAATGCCATCCTGGAGGACTACCTTCCTTCTGGCAAGGGCTTCTGTGCACTTCCATGTGTGTGTGTGGAACTGCAACAAGCTTGCCACAGGTGAAGCGCACGGCAAGCGGCAAAACCCCATCAATTCACCAATCGCCTCGAGTCCTTTCGTCATGGCCGCAGCATAGTCCTGCAGGCAAGGCAATGCAGAAAGAGGGCTGTTCGGGTTGACCAGCAATAGCATCGACGACACATAACAGCACATCACTGCATGCACTTGAACATCGCAGAAAACTGCCCGCCTTGGCTACTACGTGGGAAACGGCAATGGCGTACAGCCTACGGAAAGGCAGAACTGCCATCTCACATCCATCACGTCCAGCATCCAAGAAAACCGATGTCTGACAGTCTGACACCCATCCCGTCTTGAGAGCAAAAAAGTGCATTACACGTCAGACACCAAACAAGGCTCCTGCTGGAAGCAAACAAGCTTACAAATACAAAGCTGCAAGATGCCAGGCACTGTCAGGCCAAAGGCGCAGACGCTCTGCCCATTCCCTGCTTGTCGCCCAGCCTCGCACAATCAAATATCGCAGATTTACATGTCTTGACTTCCGGAGAGGCTTCTTGCAAACCATCTTGTCAGTCGCAGCCAGCTCTCAAGCAAACTCCCAGGGCTCGCAAACTGCCGCGAGTCTTGCCAACCATGCTCAAAGTGTCAGACAGCTTCAGAGGGCTCGACCGGTCCAATAGTTCCAAAGCCTCGCTGGCTGCCTGGCAAAAGAGAGGGTACGGTCTGTTCATCAATACCTTCGTGCTTGCACGTTATAACTCTTTGCATGTAGAATGAACAAACACTGCTCACCAAGGCATGCATGGGTAGAAATGTGCAGGCATGTGTTCACACATGTTCAAACACTCAGGACCGTCACAAGGCCTTTCTGCAAACATCGCGGCAAGCCATGCCTTCATTTAAGATTGCTCTGGCATGCTCAAATCACACATGAGTGAGCCCCCACTTCTCCTTCACTCGATTCACCACTAGTTCTTTACGCACTGACTTGTTAACACATCCTCTCCAAGCGCCTGGAAAGCTGACTTCGGTGAGGCACCTCGTGTTGGGCCCGAGCGACGGCACATGCGAGGATATGCAAGCTTCGAAAAGTCAAACAACAGAAAAACAAACAACCACATCGAATGCGCCACACAAGGTCCATCCGCAGTCTGAAGTGCCGGCCTTTGGACAGAATAAGGGAGACCTCCAGCTTGGCCAGCCTAAAGTCGAGAGCTCAGTGCCGCTCTTTGTCCAGACTTCGTGGAGTGTGGACTAGCGTATACAATTGAGTCACAATCAAAACCCGGTATTAAAATGGTCTACCCAGAACCATGTAAAGGATTAAAAAGGCGGCCGCAGCTATTTATGGTCGGGATTGTCCCTTACTAACCTTCAATTACCCGGGCTTTGATTGTGGCTGGCGGTAGCGGCGCTGTCTATCCTCCAGGGCATTGCCTGGGAATCACGGAGTGAACCCAAAACGTGAAAGAAGGGCCACAAGGGTGTCGACCTGCGAGGAAAGTTCAGCGACTCTTGCCTCACAGGCCGCTGGCAGAATAGCCTCTGAATATTGCACCTTGCACGGGGGCATCCGGCGAAGCCTGCCGAGCCTCGTCCAGGGAACTGTGTAACCACAGAGCACACAACGAGGCTCGCAGGGGTCCCAATTGGTGCCATAGCAGTGGGAGAGCCCGGGGGCACCGGCCAGACGACTGGCCCACCCGGTCATAAGATGTTTCCGACGACCCATACAAAACCGAAGTCTTCGCACAGAGGAGTTCCCGAGTGCTTCGCGCAGCTGCCCGGCGTCCAAGCTGTAAAGGAAGTTGATCGGCACCACCTCGATGAGGTACTCTTTCAAAAGGATCTTGCATGCATCCAGACGATCCTGAACCGAGGTCAGAGCATCAAAAATGATGCAAGGGCGGTCATGGATCTGGTTCAAGCCGGGAAGAACCGGGCCCGCCATCTTATCATTCAAACGATACCGAACCACCAGGGAGGCAAACACAGGCGAAGACCTCCAGCAAGTGATAGATGCGTTAACCTGATCCATAGTGACGTAAAGCTTACGCAGCGGCCTGCCAAGCATAAGATATTCCTCATTCAAGTTGACCAGAACTTTAGTCCCAATGTTGATGCCGTCGTGCCGTGGAAGCATCAGCCCAAAGGGCAACGTCGGCAGCGGAGGCCAAGACTGACAAAGCTCCAACATGTCCGGCTCGGTTTCAACATCAATCGGAATCCCTTGCATTTTGAGAATACCCAGACATAACATCCGGATCTTCCACTGGGCCTCACGAGCAGTCTTGATCTTCCGCAGGAAAGGTGCTTTGTCCCCTGCAATAAAGATGAAGAGCAGTAAGGCCTCAATCCAAGTATGTCTTCTTGAGAGGGTTTCAGCTTTGCCTTTGTCAAATATGCACCAGTCAAGCATACCCCGAAGGAGGTGGAAGTCTTCAATACACCCACCCCAGTACCATAAGTTAGCTTTGACCGCCATCATATCAGGGTCGATAGTCAAGAATTGTCCCCTTTTAAACACAACGTGGCCGTGGAAGGGGGAGCTGAGCAAATAAATGTCTTCCGGCTGAGCGTGCTGTCGATCAGCACGATCAGACTGCACCGGAGCATGATCAAGCTGAATATTGTAATCAATTGTACGGAGATCGCGGTGACGAGCTTCCCATTTACCAAGGAGGTCAACCGCTTGTCGTTGAATCGTACCCCATTTAGCCTGAAGCCTAGGGGGAAGGTCCTTGCAGAACACAAGAAGGTGTTGCGAACAGGGGCTCCACTGTAACCAGGATTCCCAACCTTCATCCCATTGACTGCGCAGATCGGCCCAAAAAGGGCATTCCCAAAACAGGTGCGCCATAGTTGCGTCATGGTGTCTACATTCTCTGCACTCTGGAGTATCAGTGAACTTCTTGACAAATTGCACGTGGAAGGAATTAATCCCGTTGATCAGCACTCGAATGAGCTTTTGTTGCACGGGGTGCCCTTCAGGCAATAAGTGAAGAAGCGCAGTGGTTGTGCCGAAATCGTGGTTGCCGATTCCCTTCCAACAGGTGGAGTTGCACTGTTCCAATTCAGAAGCAATCTTGTTACGGAAGGAATGACTAAGAGCCTTGCTCATAACTTTGCAGTCGCTACTTCCAAAGGTCCAAAGCAATCTACCCTCATCGTTGCTAACTTGCAAATTGTCAATGTTCAAATGAAGCTGCAAATACTCCAAATCCTTCTTAAGCTGGGAAACAGGGCCAATCTTCTTGATAGAGGGAAGAGCTTTCTCCCAGCTCTGAATCACAGCATCCTTGAAGGCGGGCCTCTTGAAGGCATGATTGTTCCAGAAGAGCAGGTTCCTCCAGACAAAGAAAAACTCAGGGTCCATAAGCAAGTAGTTCTTCTGAAACAGAATTCGAGCCGAAAATTGCTTCCGTGTGCCGCAGTACGAATAGCCGTGCGAAGCTGCCTGAGCTGATCCTTAGTCGGTCTCAGTGTAGCACCTGCATACGTAAGCATGGGAATAATGACCGTGCGGACAATCATATTGGTGGTGGCCGCAGGTTGGTTGGCCCTTGTAAGCAATTGTAGCGCGGTAATAGCTCTGTGTATTTTCTTTTCAAACCAAGTCTTAGAAGAAAAGAGCCCGATGGCCAGGGGAACACCAAGGTAATCAACCGATTTGACTTCCTTGACCACTTGTCCATCCCGCCAACAAAGCGGTGTGGACTTCTTCACATCTCTGATTTGACAAGTCTTAATTTGCGTGCGAAAATTATGAAGCGTATCCCAGGCCTCGGTACGTCCAAAGGCATGCTGGAGTTCATTCGAGTCACCTTCCGTGAAAAGAAGCCTATCATCCACATACACATAATTGTAGACAGCGCTGTTGAGATCTCTTGACCAGACCGCCAGCACCAGGCTAGCGGCGGCCATACTGATGGGGTCACCCTGAGGCAACCCGATCGTCCCAAGAACGGGCCGTCTGGCTACTATGCCTGAGGTGGAAACGAATCTTCTCATGTGCCTGATGGAGTGTATCCAGGTGCCGACAGCCGCCTGATGCATACCCCATTCGGATAAGGCATGACAAGCGAGCCAATGTGGGATACAATCGAAGAACTTGACTGTGTCGATTGCCACACCATGAAATGAGAGGTGCGTCTCATTCTGGCATTTCTCAGCCGAAAGAGAGGCGTGCAGCCAAGCCTGGTAGCCACTGCGCTGAGGTACACCCCCAATGATGTTCTCAGGGAGGTTATCAAAGGTAATTTCACCACACTTCAAAAGCCACTTGTGGAAAATGCGCAGAGCCGTGACTTCGATAGTTATGGGTCTCATGGCATCGAGATCAAAGCCGGCTTCACCTTTCGGAATAACCACAAGTTTAGCATTAAGCCAGTGCTTGGGAACCCTCCCGCAAATCACGCAAAGCATAAAAAGACTGTGCAGGAAATCCACGCCCCTTGGCGGAAGCTTTTTGAAATGCGCGTAGGTCCAACCACCAAGCCCCGGCGACGAGATACCTTTCCCGTTTCTGAGGATCTGATTGAGGTGTTTCACATTCCACATATCTGCAGGGACTTCGTGGTTGGCGTTGCCTACATCCCAGGACATTTGGTCATCATGCTGGTAAACTGAAGCAAAGAAGTCGCGGATGACATCCACCGTCTCTTGAGGGGTCTTGGTCCAGCCATCGTTCGCTTTGATAAAAGGGGGGGGCTTGCGGGTTGGGGCCCTGACCCATTTGCAAACGTCCCCAATCCATTTACTCTTCTGGGACTTGTCGCCGGGCTGCTGCATTCTGTGCTTCCAAGCCTGAAGTTTGTCAAGTGAGGGTTGACCCAGCTCAAGAAGGGCTTCACGGATTTCTTCGTGCTCCTGTGCTTCACTGGATTGTGCAATAAGCTTCCTGTGAAAAATCGCTTTCTGCTGGTTTTCCCAATGCATTTTGACTCCCAGGCCAGGGACTCGCTTGAAGTTGGTATGGCCGTTCCAGAAACGAAACATAGTTGAGGCGAAGATGGACCAGCACATATCCACATCAAATTTCTCATAAGCCACACACCATTCATCTTGCAAGTCATCCCATACTTCGGTGTGATTTCCACACTGCTCGTTGATGTGATATCCTTCAATCTGCAAGTATTGATGCACCTCGGCGTTCCAATTGAGCTTGGTCGAGATGATGGCGTGCCCATTGTCGTAGGGGAAAAACGTGATTGGAGGACCGAATTCCATTCGAACGTCTTTGTGACAAATAATGTCATCAATCTTAGTCTTGGATTGAGCTCTCTGAAAGGTGTAAGGATCGGGACCAAGCATGTCCGTCAACTTGGAGTACAAGTCCTCGAAGAGGAAGTCCATGTCCGTCCCCCACAGTAGGGGACTATTGAAGTCTCCAGCAATGGAGTGTGGTTGGACCTCCTGCGCATCGGCGGCGAGGTCCCGCAGGAACTGGAAGTTCTTCTGCGGGTCATCAGGAGCATAAACATTCCAAAGCGTCCTCCAAGTGGTCCCATCGAAGAAGTTGATTGCCAGGAATCTTCCCTGCTCGTGCCAGTACTCCATCCTAGCAGGTGACGGGCCCACGTGGGCCGGAATCTCCTTCTTGATGGCGATAGCCACTCCAGGGCACTGCTTATGATGCAGACCAACTTTGCCACAGCCTTTCTTTTTCCAAACCGGGCACTTGCCAAACAGGAGTTGGTAACCTGAAGAGTCGGCCGAGTTAGCAAACAATTGAGCTTTGCGAGAGTCAATCCGGGTTTCTTGTAAAGCAAGGATGGAAAACCCCATGCTGAGAACCATATTGAGCTTGTCCGAGAGGCTGTTGAGATTCCATGTGCCAAGGAAGACTTCACTTGTCATACCTCCAACCAAGGAGAAAATATAATACAACAAACGGGAAACCAGCTCCTGAGGAACGGAGCCTCCATTCATATCCGCGCGGTGAGTCCCTAGTCAAGGCTGACCGGGGAACCCATCATCCTCGAAAAGGGAGGACGCCGCAATATCCTCTTCCATCTGTTCTTCCTGCGCCTGCAAATCCGGGGACTGAAGCAGGGATTGAAGAGCCTGTAGCTGTTCCGTCATGGCCGCAATCTGCTCCATGATCTGCCCTCGAGACATAGTGCCTGTCGCTCCCTGAGTCTGCGTGGAGGTCTTGGTAGGAGTGCCAATCCGAATCCTCTTCTTGGGACCTTCATCAACC